ATCGTTGTTACTGGAAATTAGCTCACTGTTAGTATATAGCTTCAGATTCTGCCTCAGAAGAGAGAGCTTGCAGGCATTGCTGTGTAAGTGGCTTCTTGATACTTACTGCCTTAGATGTGATAACTCTCATTTCTAGTGCAATGTAATAGTGCAAGGATTATATAGTGTGTATATAGATAGATTTTGAATGCAAAATTAAAATCCACCATCTCTATAGAATAAAGTAATTTTCATATAACTTCAGAATTTTCCGTGGAAAAAAAAGTGTTGGCTCATATTTTAGTGACTTTTTTTTCCTATATGAAGCATCTTACTGTAAACATCAATAACTAGAAGAAAAATTACTTGAGAAGCTTTTTGGTTTACTTCCAAAACATTTTCTGTCTTATGGTCGAGATCACTTCTTTCCTCATCTGTAGAACCAAACAGTGGGCAGGGTGAGAGGTGATGGGAAAATGACAGTTTTGTCATAAGCCATTCTTAGTTTTATTTCTAAGCTTAAAATATGGTCTAATGGATAAGTGATGAATGTGATTTCTGATTAAAAACACAACTTTCTAAATGGTTCTATAGTCATCTTCATGTGTCTTTAAAAAACAAAAATGTAAAAAAAATCCCAACAAACAATAAAACAGATTTTGAAGAGGAGCAGTATATCAGTCACAGTCAATCTGTTGTCCACTGGGATCTCTAGCAGATCTGCTCATTCTCTGTGTAAATTAAGTGTTTAGTGCTTCACTGTTTTACATGTTTTCTTGAATGATCTGAAACAGGAAGTAGAAAGCACATTAATTACATCTGCAGATGATACAAAGCTAAAGCTACAGCAGCTGGAAGAATGGCAAGAAATATAAATTGATCTAGAGAGCAGCAATGTGCAGGAATTTACAAAATGAGGCTCATCTTGGGAACGTGATCCAAATCACAGACATGTTACATGTAAAATTACTTTAGCTAAGTGTTAATGTTAAGCTTTCACTCGTGCAGTAAGCAAGATCTACTTATCTTGATATCCCACCCAGTTTACTGTTTCTTATGGTATCCTGATCTTTACCCACTTCTACTGAATCTTTCTAGAATCGTTTCCAGTTTCACTACTGTGGTTTTGGTGTGATAAAGGACAAATAACTGGAAGATTTCTTGGTTTCGTTACAAGCAAAAACTAAGTAATATGTGGAAAAACTAATGCCTCCTGTTTTTATGTTCCCCCACCCCCGACATTCAGTTTTAACAGAATTCTGTCTTAATCAGTGCTGCAAATTACATGTCTGTCCCAAATTTAGAATGCTTGGATCTGAAATTGTGCTATTTTATAAATCTGCTCCTTTACCAGATTGCTTTCCAATTTGGGGTGCCAACAGGGCTTCAGAGCAAAACTGTCCTGAGATTTCATTTTCTTCACAGTTTCACAAATGGCTCATGCTTTGCCTTGGTGCCTTGGAAATGAGATGGATCTGGCTGCCTTTGCGGCTTATCAGTGTCTCAGCACTGGACTCTTTACAGGGGGAAATGCCAATCAGTTGTAATTTGCTCAGATAACAATGTTACTATTGTTAGTGCCAACGTTTCTGTATGTAAAATAGGCGGTGTAATAGCTCGTTGTAACGAATAATTTCGTGTTGAAGAAACAGCCTAAGAAGGCTTTGTGGTAGGCTTTGTATAACGTTGGGTGTGAAGGAGGCAAAACAAAACAGCATATCCAGTATCACGTTATTTTTGTCTTAATTAGGACTGTGTCTAAACATCCCGTGTTTTTCTGCACTGAGGTGCTGAAGATAGCTGCAGTGCATTCGCTCCTACAACTGTCCTAAGTTAAGATTAGACAACAGAGGGAGGGGAAAAGATACAGAAGAATACTTGTTCTGCAGAAGCCTTGTAATTTTTTTTTTTTTTTTTTGGTTAATATGTGAGCACCTGCCTAATAAATTTAAGCCTCCTGCAAATGGCCATGCTTTGCTTGCCTTGTGTGGGCCTCCTAGAAATGATCTGCAGATCACAGTGTATAAGACACACAAACAGTACAGTGAAGATTAATGTAAGAAAGTACGTCATAGTCAATCGCTTTGTATAAAGACTGAATTAAAGACTAACTGTTGCTATGTTGGACTTTGAAATGAACACCTAAAAAGATGGCCAGCCTAATTCATTGTGTCCCTATGGCAGTGTGGCAAATCTGTCCCGCACCTCCTCTTGATTGACTCTCAACGTCAGCAAAAGCTCATCAGGCTGACATCTATTTCTTGCTCCGTTCTTTGCAGCATGACCTCTCCCTCTCTCTGTTTTGAGAATTCATCAAAAAAGGTGGCATGCCCAAAAACCTGGTTTGATTTCTTCCAGTGTATCAGCTTTTACAAAAATAAGGACATTGTTTGTTCTTGCAAATTTTTCAAAAATCCTTTCATGGCAGAAGTCCATGAAGATGAGGATGTATTTTGCAATTTCAAAACTCCGCATTGCACTAGCAGTATTGGTTTATGTAGTATGTTTAAGTAAGAGGCTGAACTGGTGTTTGTTTATAATTACAAAATTGCTATTGAAATATCTGCTGTGTGTTTGGTGTGATCTTGATTGTGAGTGGAACCAGGCTTTCAGCTGAAATCTATTGTTACTCACTCTAACCTGTTTTAGGGTTATTCTTATTTTATTCTTTTATGCTGAGTAAACTAAAAGTTGGACAATGCTGTTAAACATATTTACCTATTACTTTATCTCAATTATGTTAAAAATATAAGACAAAAAGATGTACTCTTCTTGTTATTTCCTCCACAGTATAAGTAGAAGATTGTGTTGCAATTTATCTGTGCTACTGTGCTTCTCTATCTCTGCAGCTAGTATTCAAGTGTGGCATGAATTCTTTATCCGTATAGCATGGTGGTGGCTTGCAAGTGATGAAAAACAGTTTCCTTTACGTGAATGTCCGTCTTTGTTAATGCTGTCAAACAACAAGTGTGATATCCAAGGAATACACGTCACTCTGTGGATTACTGATAATGTAATCTAATTTCCAAAAATAACTTATATGCATCTTTTAATCTATAGCCATCAGATGTATGTAAGCTAAAGAAAAACAACATGTTAGGGACAGTGCATATGAATTTAGAAGAAAGATCAGTGGTTAATTTGAAATTAAACCTTTGGGTTTACTGCATTTTCTGATAAATTAACCTTACTGGAGAAGCTCATGATGGTATCACGTGTTGTTGCAGAGACTTCCACAGATAAAATGTTCAAGGACTGTTACTTGTTGCAAACAATGCCTTTAAAATCTTTATGAGCAATTTTTACAGGCCTTTTTCAGCAAAACCTTATGTATAATAGTAGAAAACTTGACTTTTTAAAAAGTGTTAAAAACGTTACACATTTTTTTCGCAAATGTATTTTATTTAGTTATTTTCCATACCCTCGCAAGTAAAATGAACTGAAGTGAGGCAAAAAATGAATAAAATGGCATTTCTGATTTTAATAGGTGAGGTGCCATGACACAGACTGAACTCTTCCCTAGCATGTACCACTTACATGTATTTATTTTTTAAGATGTTATTGCTGTGTATTCAAGTTGAAAAGATGAGTAATAGTTCTATTCACAGGGAAATGCCACAAGGGTTATGTCAATCCTTTTAATAATTGCAAGATGTGAGAGAAGACCCCTTCTCCTTCCACATACCTCTCGCCAATTCGATGTTTCTGTAGGCATTTCCAAGCAAAGCCAAGTTATCTTGATGCTTCTTTCCTGAAAGATCTGCTTCTGCTGTAGTTTAAACTCGCCAAAGTCTGGATTGTGTCATCCAGCCCACTCTGCTTTTCTCTGGATCTGCTCCCTCAGCTAATTTTTTGTCAAGCCAGGCAAATGATGATGCTTCTAGACGTGGAGAGGTATCAGAAAAGATCTCTATGACTTCTGTAGGCTCTATCAGCTGGAGAAGTGTACCTTAAGGTAGTTCAGATTCCCCATCATCTACCCATTGCAGAGCACCAATGTCAGTTCCTTCATTTCAGATTTGCTTCTCTTAAGATAATGTGTGCAACCCATTTCAAGCAGCCTTAGTATTCTTCATCAATTGCTTCAAACTATTGTGCTGAATATTTTTGTGTCTTCATCCAGCTTTGCACGGTTATAGCTTAGCTGATACTCTTGTATGAATGGCTGAACCATTCCCCTTAAAATAATAGAAACAACAGTTTTCTGTTGTTTCTGCCAGATCAGGCAGAACAAATCTGTTCAGACCTTTTGTATATTCTGTATAACATCCGTATTACTGAATAAATACAACTATTCATTATAGATCCTATCCTTTAATGTCATTGAATTATTCAGGCTACCTATTTAATTGAAGGACTCCTTTTATTATTAAGAACTTGCTGTCTGAGCCCTGAAGGGGAAAACTCTTGGACTAGTTTTCATCCATCAGGTGGATGCAAGTATTATAGAGAGGCATTTGTAGTGCTACTTTAAATCAAAGGTAATTAACGTTCATTTGTTTTATCAGTAATGTTTATGTGGTTGTATTGCTGCTGTGGGTACCAGACTAGGCAGCAAGTTACTTCAGCTAGTTCATAGGGCAGATGGCAAGAACATGTTAGTGATACCATGAAGTTTTCAGTTCCTGAGGCAAAAATGCGTTTTATATAAAACCTGTGGCTGCACCTTTATACTACTGACCTCCTCTGATCTATAGAAAAGCAGGTTGTTGTTATATCACGTTACATCTGCTGCGTGGCATCTGTTTTCCTGCCCTTTAGAAAGTATGTCAGTGCTTACGTTCTGTGCCTATCGAATGACAGGTGACCATTAAGACATCTTCGCTGCATAAATATTGGATGTGGAGATTATTCCACATATTCCGCAAATCTTCTTGCGACAAATTTATTACATCACTTTGGACTGGAGGACGGTAAAGTATTTGTTATACTTGTTAAGTATATATTCAAGTTTATTGGGAGCGAGGTTTTGTGATCTTTCTAGAACTAATGATGTAATTAATTCTTTCTTTGTATCCTAGTTTAGACTTGGATCTCTGAAGCTACAGAAAGTTTCGAGTCCGGTGGAGGTGGTTAAGGAGCTGATTGGTTACTGTCTGGACTGCCTGGGAAGACTGCAGGCAAAAAACGAGCATCTACAAAAAGAAAATGAAAGGCTTTTCAGCAACTGGAGTGATGTGGAGAAGCGGTAAGTTTAAAAGTGCTTCACAGGTGATACTTGAGAAATTCACAAATACTTACGCTGTCAGTGCAGGCTTCACTGATGAGCGCTTTTGAAGTCACATACAGAAAGGAGTACACAAATTTTTCTTCTCTTGACAAGTGTTTTGAGCTCAGTTATCTGCAGTCCATGTAGTTGTGGGTCTCCCTCCTGTCTCAAAGATGCAAGCAGTATTACAAACTTGGCAATTAAAGCTGGTTTTAGCATTACGACGTAGAAGAAATATTATCTCTTTTCTGTAGAATCCTCTCCACTTTCTTCAGGAAGCCTTTTCCTTTCTATTATTTCCTTTCCATTTCCTGCTTATTAGGACTAGCAGTTTAAATTATTTACATTTTTGAGTAGGAAATAAGTTGCCATTCCTCTAATCTGTTTGCCATGTCAAAGCAGCAGCAGAATTGGAAAATGACTGTGTTGTTATAGGGAAAAGTACTGTTATTTTGCAAGAGATTTTTATAATTGCCATTGTGTTTATGATCTGAATTGTCTGCCATTACACACTGTCTGAAGTAATCTATGCTTATTTCAGTTAGCACAAAGCACTTAGCACATGCAAGTCAGAGATTTATCTTGTTTTTCTATAGCTTTATCTGAAAAAAACACATTTAAGAAGATTGATGAAAGAATGCAGCTAATTGGCGTTAATTTACCTTGAAAAAGAGAGCTAACTTTTGGGAGGAGTTGGTTTTGTTTCCCTCTCATTAAAATGAGTAACAATTTCTCCTGACAATCTGCCTGACAAGCATATGGCCTTTCTAAGTAGTGTTTTACTGCTTAACAGTTTATTGAACAATAGCGTATTGTATAACCAGTATGCTGCACTGCATTACACGCTAATGTGTAATAGGCATTAGTGATTGTATCAATTTCCATGGTGGTGTGGCACTTTTAAAGAGTAACCCCAAAGAGAAAAAAAAAAATCACAGTTGCCTGACAGCCCATGCTCTCGGAAGCAGTGTATTCAAGCTGTTGGTTTTCTTCAGTATGTTTATATTCTGACTAGCTGAAACATGATTTTTCAAAATAAATGCTGAAAGTTGTATGGTCACCAAACTTCGTCCATGTCTGCTAGATGAAGAATAAAAATAATTTCTATTCAAACAGCGTTGGGTTTTTTGTTTAGGGTTTTTTTTGTGTTTTTTTTTTTACATTTTTTTTGTCACAGCCCAGTCTACCCTGCTGTCTCTCTTTGCTCTTTTGGCTCCAAATGCTGGACCTAGTGGTGTAAGTTTCTTGGAGCAGAAGAAAAGCTTGGGCTGTCTTTGTTCAGTAGACAGAATTTCAGGCTTTGCATTCTGTATCACTAGCGGTGTTGAGTGGTAAAATACCAAATAAAAAGCATGTGATGTGGTGAATTGTGCTCCCTCTTCGCCTGCAGCTAAGGCACATCAGCTTCAGAGTTTCAGACCCTGCCGTTCCCTTTCCTTAAAATCTCTTTCTTCAAGACCTCATTAGAATTAAAACATAGCTTGCAGACAGACTTCCAAGAGCTATGTGTGTTCAGTTTAAGCATGGGACACTGGATGGAATAATTCAATCATCCCATTTCCATTTCCCTAGTCTAATTTTCTTGACCATTGTGAAGGTTCTGTGAGCTCAGCTCAGCAGCTTTGCCCTGAAGCAATCTGGGGTCTCTTGAGGTGTAAACTTGTTCTGCTTTCCGTTCGGTCTGTAAAATGGCAAGCAAGTTTCATTCAGCAGCGTAAATCTGCCTAGTGAGCAATCCATGGGCTGAATACCAGCCCCGATCTGCTGCTGGCAATTGCCTCAATGTACATGAGCGAATCCACCCAGCTGCAAACAGCTGGGTGCTGGCAGGTACAGAAATGGCTTCTGCCGCTTCCCGCTGCAATTCAGGTTCTCATAAAGGCGAAAGGCAGGAGCCATCCAAAAATACCTTTGAAGAGAAATCCCCTGCATGATCAAATTGTTAAATTACTTACGCACTTTAGTCTAAGCTGTACAGCGTCTAAGGTGTTAGGAGTGTTTCTGATTGAAGCTGTAATTCCCTTAATTTTCCTTGTCTTGCTTGTTGTGATGACCTAAGTGTAGGATTTTACCTGTCTGAACATTTCCCTGCTTTTAGGAAATGACCTATACGTAGGTGACCTCAGTGTGAGAGTTATTGGCTAGCTAGATTGTTCAGCACTTGATCTAAAAACATAAAATCAAAACTACCAAGACACTATCTGGCAAGATCTAAATAGAGAGACTATGGAAATTTTCAAAAGAATTATCTTGAAAATGCTAGAAGTGAGTCTCTGGGAGCAAGCGTGTTTGCACACCTCAGGGATCAGTGAGTTAAACTATCAGACAGAATAGCTGTTGTTTTTATTTCATATGAATAATTAAGATGGTAAATGTAAAGTAATAATAATCTGTAGCAAAATAATTCCTTGGCCAATAAAACACAAGTTAAATTTCTTGTTTGGGTGCGGTGTGTAATTTGCATCAAACGTCTAAAATGAGTATCAACAAGCCAAAATCAAAATAGCTGCTAATTTATATTGGGTTCAACTATAGTGGCAGTATATTTAAACAACAGACAGTTGATATAAATGCAGGCTAGGTAGTTTGGTGCTTGAAACTGACTCTTCAGCAGTAGCTCATCAAGATTCAATACCATTGCCAGTGCTGGGGGAAAGGGTAATCTGAAATGTAATAGAGTGGTGCTGCAAGACCATTTTAGAGCAGTGAGGACAAGGATAAATAGCAGAGACGTCGAATTTTTTCTTTCTAGGATTGGAGTGTGGAAAATACATAAATGACATTAAGTTGCATAGTTCATATTAACCTCTGTGAGTGAAGCATGTGCAATTGCTCTGCATTTAGGCAGCACTTAGAACTGGACAGTTACCTTATTTTCTCAGTTGCTAATCGTAACTATTCCTAATACTAGCTGCTTTCAGTAGGTTGTGCAAGCTTTTTGATGGCTGTGAACCTGGGTGTGCCTGGCACAATAAAAGCATTACGCTAACGAAACAGAAAGATCCAGGAATATAGAAGTTGGAAAGCACATGCACTTAAGACTTGCACCGCTCTAGCCATTAACTTCCGTTTATTTTCATTGTACTTGAAAGTTGTCTTTGAGATGAGCAGCTTCTTTATTGGGCCTAGAGAGATGGTATTTTAGTGAGACAAATCACATACAGGCACAAGCATGTGATGAATTGCAATTAAAGTTTGTATTTGTAACCGATGAGGTATTGGAATGAAACCCAGCCAGCTTTGCTTAGTGGTCACGTAATTCAGGTAATGCATGCTTGAGTGAATCCTAAAGGCTATGCAGAGTTACAGCCAGAGCCACCCCCCACACACATATGTTCTGCATAATTAATGAATCCCTGTTCCCAAGCAGCAGAGGACTGTTGCTTTTTACTATTCAGTTTTTAAGTATCATCATGTGCCTTATAATAGTGTATTTTTAAAGGCATATAATTAGCAAATATAGCATTATTTTGATACTGTTTTGCACTGATTGACTGTTATGCCAAATCGCTATCATATCTATGTCTGGAGAATGTATTTATATATGTATTACTTTAAACAACAGGAAAAAATCAAAAAAGGTGTTCATGTAATTGAAAACAATCATATAAGATTAACTGATGGCATACTACTAGTTGATTTCCTGTACAGGAAAGAGTTAATGTTCTAATCTATGCATATAGTCAGTATTTGTATTTTGAGATGCTAATATTTTGCTTCAAAGGCTGAAGAAATTGGCTAGTCTTGCAATGGGTTCCTGTACTGTGCTGCTTAACATCCAGAGAGCATCAACTTTACTTCATTCGGAGTTTACAGCGATGTGGATTTTTGTCAGTGGATGTCTTTGCAGGATTCAAGGGCCTCACTGAAGTGATCTCGTATGACACCTTTTTGGCCACGTCAGCAAAATGTCTTGATGTTACTATTTAAACCAACTTCAGCTGCTCTGACACAAACCAGTCCATTGGCAAAGTAAAGGCACAGTACTAAGCACTTTCCTTAGTTAGTATTGTTTTGTGTGTGGGAGAGGGGCCTTCTCTGTAAGATTTGTTACAGACAGGATTACCATTTTTGCACAAAAACCTTGTGTTCCACTTTCATGTATACAGACATAATTAATTTCAAGCATGTAAATGACGATTTACCCAACAGCTGTAATATAATTCTTTTTAGTCTTATTTTTAATGGCTGAATTCTACTTGATAAGTGGAAAGCAATTTCTGTCCTTACCTTTCTCCTTCTATGAGCTGATCAAGACGCTCTGGACCCTGTGTTAAGGTTTATGATTCTTTGTGAATTGTCTATTTGTTCCCCACTAAACAGTTAACTTGCCTTTTGTAGGTGGAAACTCTCCTGGTACTTGATTAGTACATATGATCTTTCATTTAGGAATTATTGAACCGATCTATATGGTAATGATGTTCTGCTATTTGCATTTAAATTAGATGAATTATTTATCAACTATCAAGCATATCCCTAAAGCATTGCACAGTAGACTTAATACTTCATGAGATTATTTTCTATTGTCTTTCTTCTTACATCATGTATGGTTTTGATCTATGAACAAAATGATCGCTATTTATATAGGAAGTCTGTTGAAGTTTCTTACCTTATAAATTAATATTTTTTAAATCTGTTATATGTTTGGGTTTAATAACAAAGGAAGCCTTCTAAACTTTTTTACCAACCTTGCACAGGTTGATGAAGTTAATGTTGTTTTTAAGTTATGGGTATTTGCTGTAATACTGTCGTTCACATGATCAGTAAGATTATCAAGGTGTTTATTAGCTTGTTATGAACACAACTATCAAAATGTTTGCCGTTCAACCCAAGGGCTGGAAAGTTATGAAATACAATAAGTAAATATAGGATCGCATTTGCTATAAGTCACTTCATTTATTGTGCTCGTGTTTGCTTATACTTCAGGTTTGCTTTGCTCATGAGACAGTAGACATCCATATTCTTAATTTTATATTTCCATTGTGCTTCATTTTACCGACATTGGTGTTCCTACAGGTGCACATTAAACCTTTAAAAACATGAATAATATTTTACTCTGAAGATGTGAAATAAAAGCTTTTAAAACATTTTTATATATATTGTAAATGTTTAGTCCTCTACCAAGTAACTGTGATCTGTTCAGGGGAAAAAAAAAACAAAACAAAAAACAAAACCAAACAATCAAACCAAAAATCTGCCTAGTGATGGCTGTGAGTGTACTGAGATCTCAGCTCTGTATCTGTGTAATTTGAACCGGAGTCTGCAGCACTGGAGTTATTAGCATTGTTATTTGTCTGAATGCCTGTAAGGGATTACAGTTGCCATCAGGTGTTGCTGCAGTGTCCTGTTGAGTTTTGCCAGGAACTGGTTTCGCTCACCAGAACAAGATATGCAAGGCTGTTGATGGAAAACTCTCAGGCAAAGGTCTGTATCACCCACTCACTTCTGCCTGGGGAATCCTGGTAAGGAAGGAGTTCTGGAGCTGTCTCGTTTGCCCAAGGTATTGGTGGTCATCTCAGCCCATATTGGAGGGGAGTTGCCTATTTCTTGTTTCTTTTTTTTTTTTTCCCCTGTTCAAATATATTTCCAGTTGGAGTGTGTGGTCCAGATTTGGGACCTGCCAAACTTAATCGTATCTGTTTGTAATCTCATTATGTATATCCTGCTAAGGTATGCCTGCTATGGTGAAGCATAGAAACTTCAGAATTGAAACTAAAGAACACTTGCCTATTTAAGTTTTAGTTGTCTCAGATGCAAGAACCTATCAAAAAGAGCATGAAGAGAAAATTTTCCCCCTGGAAACTTTCCCTTTGGTACCAAAATTCATTGTATTTTTCTGTGAAAAAAAAAAAGTTGCTTCTCACCTATTTCAGACACAAGATGCTGGACTAGTCACGCGTGGTTTGGTATGGGGATTCCTGTGGTAGAAAGGCTGGCCTCACTACAGAATTTTCTTCCAGGAAACACAGACTTTTAAAAAGAAATAATGTAACAGTTAATTTTACATTGTAGGCTGGAAAAATGTGTGGAAGCTAAAGAAGAACTAGAGGCAGATCTCTATAACCGGTTTATTTTGGTGCTGAATGAAAAGAAGGCAAAGATAAGAAACTTACAGAAGTTGTTGAACGAAGCTAGAGAATCTGCAGCAGATGCCAAATGCACAAGGTATTTCTTAATTTTCCCAAGTTGTATGATATTATACCTGTTGCGTAGTTTAGTTCAGTTTAGTTTCCATTTCTTTGGCTCTAACAGTGGGTGACAGTTCTTCCTGGCGAAGTGCTTGGTTATCCAAAACAACACTAACACTCAAGAAAGCCAAGGATTCTTTGTGGCGTCACTGCAAATAGCAGCATATTGCTTTGGATACTGTAGGCAAGAACTAAATATTCTATTAATCTATCCTTTTTTTCTGTTAGATTGCAGTTGATTTTCCAGTCAGAGTATGTCTCTGCTGTTTCCATAGGTGATACTTTCATATGCATTCTCCCTGAATTATTTGATTCCTTTTGTCCTTTGGGAAACAAAAATATCTAAATCTAAATGGTTTTATGTACTTTTTATTTCAAAAATATCCAGAGAAGATGAATCATTCTAATACTACAACACACCTTAAATTGTTTGCTATTTTATATCATAACTTACCTTTTATTATCTGTCCTTGTATGTGAATATGCTAAGCTGTTCCACATGGGGACTTTATGTTGATGTCTATTAGCTTGCATTGCCTCATTGCCTAATAATTATAAACTCTTTGTAGGGATAATAGATGTCAAAGATGTGCTTTTTTTTTTTCCTAGGGATAGTATAGCTACCACTCAGACAGCTACAGGGAGAGAAAATGACTATGATGGCAGCACTGATGAGGAAAGTGAAAATTTAACACAGGCCTCATTACCATCAGGTAAGTCAGAATGTGTCACGGACAGGCCAGTCACTTTATGTGAATATACTCTAACGAAGACAAAATGCTACCTGACAAATTGCTCTGTGACAAGTCAACCTGCAAGCCTTAAAAATATCTCTCTTGAAGTAGAGTATAATACTGGCATTTTCAAATTAGAGAGAGGAAGTTTAAAAGCATGTTGTACAAGTGAAGGTACTGTCATTTCTTCCAAAATGACAAATTATGTACTTTCCAGAGCTAATGACAGTCTAACAGTATCTGAACCATCAACAATTCCATTTTAAATTCTAGGAATCATGATGTGTGTGCAATGACTGCTAAAATGTAAAATGTAGTTCCTGACAGTTTCAACAGTATTTAAAAAGTGGAAAGAGAGGAGGTTTAACAGCTATAAAAATAGCTATGTGCATAAATGGAAAAAATGTATTTATAGCAGAATTAATTTTAGTTTGTCAGTGAATTTTTGGCCTCATGAAGATACTCGTGAAACTTAATTTGACTAATTTTTCCAGGACTAGAGATTTGTAAAGCATATAGGGTACAGCAATTGCCCGTTCTACAATACAAGATATCACTGTGAATTATAAGAAATTTTGGCATATTTTGGCAAACTAGTGGAGATATACAGGACAAATGCTATTTGAAACTGCATTGATACTTGCCATATGGTTTTATATATATTTATAAACTTCCCTTCAGTTCTGCAAGTTTGCTATGGATTCTCTCACTGGAGCTTTCTATTTCCACCATAGGTAAAGGTAATCAAGACAACAACTTGTAACAACAGTTTACTGTGCATACTGAGAGCCGGAATTGTTCAAGACCCTGATACCAGTGGTATTCAGCTTTGTAGCTCATATGAGCCTCTCTGTTGAGGACTTTCTGATGTAATATAAAGTAGGCAGAGTTTCAGACAAATGGAGAAAGTTGCAATCATGGAAAGAAATAATTTTATGTTGTACTATGCTCTTCAGTTCAGACATCTTTGCTTGCAAGTGATATTTGGTCAGTTCAAATTACGTGGTGGGAAATACTGTAGTAAAAAGGCAAGGAAAAGTGGAAAGTGTTGATTCTTTTGCTAGATTCAGCAGGGCTTAACTAGCTCAGTGAAAGTTTTAACATAGTCGTATGTATTTACAAATGAAAACAAACACCCATTGCCCTACTCAGGCAGTCAAGAGAGACTGAACTGATGAATGTTATAGCGAAAAAATAGCAACTGTATTTTTATTTAAGTTGTAAACAGAATTGTGCTTTCTGTTGCCTTTGAGGGCTACAATTTTGATCATGACTAGGGAGTTCTTCCGACTGCAACATTTGCAAATAATATGAAGACTATAAACTTATTCCTTCGAGTAACACACTCACATGTTTCATGGTAGTGGCATTCTTGAACCTGCACAATGAGTATCACTTATATGAGTTGATACTCTTCCTGTATATACTGCTTTCTCTTTCCTTGAACAATAGAAAAGCACAGATAGGAACTGAATATCTTAGTGTGGTCTAGGATTTTCACATGTAAAAAGAGGTCTGAGGCAGACTGTCTCTATTAAGAAGACAGCAATTGAGGCTGGAGTGACATGAGCACGATAATGAAGCCAATAGCTACATCAAGCATCAAGGGCTGTAAGGCATAAAAGATAATACAGATAATGTTTCAAAATTTTCTGTTTATCTTAGTTTTCCTATCCCTTAGTCCAACATTACATCTATTTTCCTTTGGATTTGGAATGTCATTGGGTCATTGGCTGTGGGAGTCAGTGAAAGTTAGAAGATCTTCGAGAATGTTTTAGTAGATATTGGTGAAAGCTATTATCAAGAGAGAAGATCATAATTTAAAACTACTTTCAAGGAAAGTGAAGGCAGGTGTGTATATGTGCCCATATGCACATAATAAGTGTGCATTTGTGTATGTACATGTCCAAAATTTAAAAAGTGGAAAGCTGATGCTGGTTGTCATAAATGAAAAGTAGCAACTGCAGGAGATGACTGAAGAAAACCACATGATATAAAGGCAAAGAATCTGAGGCCAGGAGGTAGAAGGCCAACAAACAGTCTTCAAGTCAGTTGAGAACATGTATACAGCTGTTATTGGCCTGTTAGTGCAACGATATAAGAGCTTTTGATTTGTGTTTAGAAGGGAGAACTAGATGTAGTTGCAAAGTAACTTAATTCTATTCTAGAAACTAAGGGGGACCTGAATCAGCAGCTGTGAAGTCTAGGCATTTTAAAATTGGCCACTCAGGATATGTTGAACTGCAGAGTTTAAAAAGGTGGCCGAGGATTTTTCTTAACTGTTTTTCTTCTAGAATTTTCAAGGCACTGAGGGCATTATAGAGGATTTAGAAAAAAGCTTGCAATAATTACTGCAAGAAAAAGGAAATGAACTGACAAATTCAGTTATGAGTGTATCAGTCTGGTGTTGATCTTATGCAAATATTGGAACAAGACTCAATGAAGAAAAATGTTAAGAAAAAGAGTAAGAATGGTTAATCACAGTCTTTGTAGAGGTGCAGAAACCAGAGGTTGAAAACTAGGTACTCATGTCTTCTGTGGTGAGATTACCAGCTGGCTGATGAAGGTAAAATTAATAAAGCAATAGACTGACTTCCGTAAGATATCATGCTGCACCACATTTTATTCAAGAAATTATAACATGGAAATTAACACCTAAGTGTGTTCTCAAATAAGGTAGTATGTCTATTTCAAGATAAAAATGGAAAGTTATCAGTCCTTGTGTCCGTGGAGTAAGAAATTGAAGATAACTTGTATAAACCAATTTGCATTTTGTGATACACCAACTATAAACAAAATATATGCATTCTAAAGCAGCATAATGCCATGATTTCCAGTCCTTTGACAGCTACGCTTCACTTGAGAAAACCAACAATGTCTCTCAGGATTTGCTTTGTCTGGCTCCTTCTGCTGCATAAAGTTGGGTACCTCCAGGGATTGCCATAGTCTTCCCTAGGTGGACCCACCTATCTAAGCCAAGAGCTACTTGGACAACATTTGCGCACTGCTCTATATGTCTCCTCTTCTTGGGGGCGGTTGCACTGTCCCGCCTGGCATTGCAGGAACCAGCGTGGGCCACATTACTTCTGTTGGTGTCTGCCTGACCTCTCATCAGGTTGTAACTGCCCAGTGCTACTTGCCTGACCTGATAGGCAACTACTGGTCTAGCATAAGGCTACTTTGGAAATCAAAGAACATATAGACACTGTTGCCTTAAGAAACAATGATTTTTAAATATTAAAAAAAAAAAAAAAAGAAATCAAAGAAGACATTAAGTGTGAAAATAACCAGATTTGCACGTTTATGGCAAAAGGAACTGTGGGATTTTGAGTCAAGATAAGATTTGGCTCCTTGATGGAGTGCTATGTCAAGTTTGGACATCTAGATTTGAAGAAAAATGTGTTAGGAAGTTGGAGAGAATAACATTGTCGTAAGAGTGGAGGGATAAGCAAATTATTTAAATGAAATGCTGAGAAGTATCTTAAACAATCATTGTTTTCATGGTCTAAAAGAAATTACATTACAAAAGGATGTCAATGTAAATTGTCTTTCTCTCCAGCAGGTATAGATGTTTAATGAACTTGAATAACTGAAACTTAATATTAGAAAAAGACAAAAGTGGGACACCAGTCCTGACAGGATAATTAACTGTCGGAACAGTTGAAGTGAGTTATGATGGATTCTATCCATCACTGCCAGTGTTGAAATGACGATGGTATACTTTTTGTTAAAAGACAAGAGTTTGTTCAAAGAAGCATGAACTTGGAGTACACAACCTGTGTTATGCTGGGCATTGCAACGGCTGTACTATGACAGCTTTTCCTCTATAACAGCAGATAAATCACAGAATAAAACCATTTCTTGTGTCTTCTACAAAAATGAGTTTACTCATGCATGAATACTCAGCAAGGCTATCAGGTAGGTTTTCAATGCCTGCGCAGCAGGCAGTTACATTTTTTTGTTCCATTTCAGATAAATTTTGTGTAGAGGTCTTTTCCAAAAAACTACAATAGCAGTTAAACTGTAACCTAAAATTTTACCTAAAAATTTAGGGTTTGGGTGCTCACACTACCATTTGTAGGTATGATCATAGAACAGTTAGGGTTGGAAGGGACCTTAAAGATCATCTAGTTCCAACCCCCCTGCCATGGGCAGGGAAACCCTCCACTACACCAGGTTGCCCAAAGCCTCATCCAACCTGGCCTTGAACACTTCCAGGGATGGGGCAGCCACAACTTCTCTAGGCAACCTGTTCCAGTGCCTCACCACCCTCAATGTAAAAAATTTCTTCCTTAGATCTAATTGAAATCTGCCCTCTTTCTGTTAAAAGCCATTTCCCCTTGTCTTATCACTACACACCCTTGTAAAAAGTCCCTCTTCAGCTTTCTTGTAGCCCTTTTAGGTACTGGAAGGCTGCTCGAGGGTCTCCTTGGAGCCTTGTCTTCTCCAGGCTGAACAGACCCAACTCTCTCAGCCTGTCTTCATAGCAGAGGTGCTCCAGCCCTCGGATCATTTTCGTGGCCCTCCTCTAGACTTGCTCCAGCAGCTCCATGTCCTTCATGTGTTGGAGACTCCAGAGCTGAATGCAGTACTGCAGGTGGGATCTCACGAGAGCAGAGTAGAGGGCAGAATCCCCTCCCTTGACCTGCTGGCCACGCTCCTTCTGATGCAGCCCAGAATACGGTTAACTTTCTGGGCTGCTAGTGCACATTGTCAGCTCATGTTGAGCTTTTCATCAGCCAGCACTCCCGAGTTCTTTTCCTTCAAAATGATTTATGGTTTGCTTTTTGGTAGCAGTTTCTACTTCATAGCTTAAAGCCAAAATCAACTGGAACATGGTAGTTTTTGTCTCTAATCTACACACTGATGTAGTTAATGCTTTGTACTGTAAAAGAACAAATTTAAATTGAATTAGTAGGTATTTTATTGTAAAGCAATCAGGAAAACAACTTATGTATATGAGAAGCACAACTTTTAGA